CTGACCATGGTAGTGCACAGGAGCTTCAGTCTCCAGTGATGGAGAGTGTGTTCACAGCCAGGGTTAGGATCACTCAGTTCCCAGCACAGGTCTGGGCACAAACCTCACTCCTGTCAGGAGCTTTTCTCACTTCTGTCGAGGACCAGAAGCCTTGGACTGTTCCACAGGGTGGCCCTTCCTCCATGACCCCAGACTGAGTTGGCAGCCCCCTGGAAAGTGAACACCTCTGACCAGCGCTGGTCCGTGCCCAGGCCTTCAGCATTTAATGTGTACAGGAGGTGATCCCTCTGGAATTTCCACTCAGCTTGCCCCTGGATAGTATTACCCAAGTGACCCAACACCTGATCCCAATCCTTCATGTATATGCACATCCTCAAAGCCTGGTTAAGACTAGGGTATGACCCAAAATATGTCTGGGGAACAAGATGAGACCTCTGTGTGCTCAAATGGGTACGGCTGAAACATGTCTTTGTTCTCAAAAGGTCTTTCAGGTTCTCTGTGCCAAGACAAAGCAGCAGGAAGAACATGGTGTTAGTTAAAAAGAAAAGGCCACAGAGCTCAAGAAAAACTGATAAATCACAAAGCTGTTCTCTCCCCAAGATCAGCAATTGCTCTACAAACCAGCAGCCATGCAAGGAATGATTCTCCAGAATTTATCCATTCCAAGCACACTGGCCTTTTGTAAATGCTGTGTGACCCCAGACACCTCATTTTACAAAAAATAAAAAACAAAACTGTCAACTGCAAGACCCTTAGCAGCCTCAGCTACCTGCACACTTTGAGAGAGCCTTGGGAGAAGACAGCTGCAAGGAGATGGGCCTCTGGAAGCTCTTCTGGAGGTGCTTCTCATACAGGTTTGGTAACAGAGAGGATAGAAAGCTCAGAGCAGGACAGGGCTGCACCAGGAAAACTCAACCCCCAGCCCCACTGAGCATCTCTCAAGAACATACTCAAAGCCAACTAATTCACAGAGTATCTGAGACATGAATTTTCTTTTATGAAGGCAGACCTGAGTTTAGCACATGTGCAAAAGTTGAGGGTGGTGTGGGATGAGTGCATTCAAAGCAGAGAAACCTTCAGCAGAGGCTTTTGCAAGTATGAACACCTCCTTTGTCTCATCCAGAGTGAACATCAAAGCCAAGTGTTTTAACTGGGCTGTTTTAAGTGAAAACCTTCATGCCAAGATTCAGGCTTCTATGTCTAAATTGCTCTGACTTGTATGTAAAAGTTAAGAGGAAAATGCTGTCTATCCAGGGCAAAACCAGACGCCAGCTGGGCTGGTTTCCACGTGAGACAGCCACCTCTTTCATGGGCACTGGGCTCTTCACCGGCTCTTCCAAGGGTGCATTGTTTCTTTTACAAAGTCAGCAATTGATTGATGCACAACTCAAAGTGCCCATTTCCCACAGAGAGCTTTTCAGGCTTTTCAGACATCTGCAATGTCCATGTTCATGAGCAGGGTTATGAAACACTTGTTTGCAAACCCATCATCTTCCCAGATGCTGCTCACAGAATGTAAAATACAATATGGGTTGGGTTGTTTGCAGGCCAAGGCCTCTTTTCAGCTCACTTAAACTCCTCTTCCTAACTGACTGTGCTTGTTTCTGCTCAAATTGAGTGGCAGTAAGTGCCTGCAGCGGTTTAATCACCTCTCTGTGAAGTCAGCAAAGCTGGTTGAGAAATTCCCATCTTGTTGACACACAACAAGTCATCACTCAGGGGTACCCATTCACCTGGAACGCCAAACTTCTTCAGGGTGCACTTTTTGCCCAGCAGCATGAAAGATATGAAATCCTCATGCTGCTTCTCCTTTGGTTCCATCCTACCTAGACCTGAAATATGGAGAAATGAGAAGTCTGTTCAAATTGGAACTTTGGGAAGCAGCTCTGTGCACCCATTATTATTCCTGTTTCTCAGACTGGACTGTTTGGGGTTTCTACCCCTCCCTTCCTGCCCATGGCAGGGCAAGGTGCATTGACACGTAAAGTGATCCAAACAATATTTCTGTATCCAGAGGCAAAACAAGCCCAACCTGAGGCAGGAACAGCCCCAGATACAAGAGCCCCAGCAGCAGTCAGAGCATGAGAAAGGAGCTGGGAAAAGGGAGGAAGAAAAAGGGGAAAAAAGGGTAGGAGAAAGAGGTTAGAGAAAGGGAATAAGGATCCAGGAGCTGGAGCTTTTAAAAATAAGCCCATGAATGATGAAAGTACACATTTTGCCCATAAAATTGCAAGGCATAAAGATGCTAGCTAAGGAATATTTATAAAGCAGGCATGCTTGCTTCTAGTGAGAAGAGCTTAGATGCTCTCCAGCTCTCAAAAACTCTAAGACTAGCCAAAAAATCTGTGGCTGGAGGACAGCCAGCCCATACCCAGGCCGAACATGACAGCCCGTAATCATTTTTGTCTCACTGCAGATGACTGGTGACAAGCACACACGAGGCTCAGCCTTCTCCTTGTGCAGCCCTCCCATTTGATTTCCTTGAGTGCAGGGACAAGTAACCAAAAAAAAATCACTGAATGAGGGAATAATTCACTTTGGGAGGGACTTCTGGAGGTCAAAAGTCTTAGCTCTGGATGTAAATAATCGAGATTGTGAATCTTTATAACAAACAAACACCTCAATTTTCAGTGCTTGTCTCTTCTAACATACCTCTGCTTGGCCCAAGCCCTGCTTTTTGCCTTGCCACTGACCCGCAAAGCTGCTAATCAAATGTAGAGAGACAAACTCCCCATCCACCACCTGGGCACCTTGGATGGCTTGGATATCTGCTTGTGCTCCCCTTAACCACCAGCAAGACCCTCTTTGCCCCTGTGATGCAGGATCAGGCAAAGGCTGGCTCCTGTCTCCTGGAAAAAGCCACTCAGACATCTCCAGCATTGCCACATGGCTACCAACAGGCTCTGCAGCCATGGGAACAAGCTTGCACAGCATCGCTGCTTTCTCTCCCTCTTGAACACAGGTTCCATCTCCAGAAGAAATCTTGGCTGGTGAGGCTCCAACAGGGGCCACAGACCAGATGAGACAGAGACCCAGCTCAGAGCACGTACTGGCCTGCCCTCTAGATGCAGACACGGGAATCCAGCGGACACAAGCTGAAGAGGAGCTGCTTTTCCCCCTCCTTTACTTTTCTTGTCGCATCTTCCGCCCTCCGAGTGCAGGAGGAGCATTGGTGACGCAGAAGATGCTCAGACACCTGGCTTTGATCGATGAGGTACAACCACCCCCACCAAGGCCACAGGGAGGTGAAAGGGAGATGGCTTGCACACGAGACAGGGCTGTCTGCCTTCCTGCAAACAGGCTTCCAAGCAGGCTGTGTTCATTTGGGGTGAAATAAGGCATGAAATGAAGCCCAGATCCACCAGCCCTGCTTCAAACAGCTGCCAGCAGACACTAAGAGGATCCTGCCAGAGGAGGAGAGTGCACAAAGCTGTGTTGTATGCACATAAGGCTTACTGAGAAGGAGAGATGATGACGGAGGGAAAAAGCAGCCTTGGCAGCACATTAAAAACTGGAGCTGGGTGGAGAACATCCCCACCTGCTTGCCTCTCCCTCCTGAACAAACAACTCGGTTTGCTGAGTTTTACTGCACAAAGACTCACTCCAGGTTGCCCAGCTGGGTGCTCACTCCCACATTCCTTGGCCTTTCCCTTAAAACCACCATGGCCTTCCCTCTCCAGCTCTGCTCACCCAGCACTGCGCTGGCAATCCAGGCACTGAGCAAGGCCAAAGCTGGAGAGAGAAGGGGCAGGCACTGGTTTGGGGAGTAATGTTTCTCAAGGAGGGGCTGTCTCTGATCTCCTTCAGCTGCATCTGTTTTGGGACTAATATGCACATACTTTTATGCCCAGCCCCATAAATTATGCAGTGAACCTCAAGGCTATGACTTCAAAATAGAGGGACTGGAAAAAGCACACACACACACACACAAATAAGAACTGCCTGTTCCAAACACCTCCAAAAGCCCTTTCTGGATGCTGCATGGCCCTAAATCACCACAACAACATCACCAAAAACCAGCCTGGCAATAGATTTGGAGCCCCAAACATAATTCAGAGACGTTCCCTTCTGCACAGCCTGCTCTAGGCTAATTCTAAGGTTGAGACTGAAGGCTGAGGCTTTAAAACATCCCGTTACAAGTCTTTCTCAGGTGACTGATTTCCTTCTCCATCTCATTAGCAGCTGCCAGCAGATGCTGTTTCCCCAGCAGAAGCCACACTTCACTTGTTACAGTCATCTCAAAACCACCCTGTCATTTCTCCCCTCCTCACAGCCACAGTGAAGCCTGGAGAATATTCATCAAGAGGCAGACATAGCAGCAGCTTTTTATGGTTAAGCTCAGGTCATTAATCTCTATCAAGACTTTCCATAATCTTCCTCAGCTTCGTGTCTGTTTAACTCTTGGATAGTCGCTCTGTGGTGCTCTGGGTAATCACAGATTAACTGCTTTTTAATATTAATAGCTTTTCATTAATGTGCCAGGCTCTCTCCCCTCCAGAGCCCAGGCAATAGCTATTAGCACTGTGCCTGCAGCTCCCTGTGGTGAAAAGGATTTTTATCTTTGGGGCCAAATTTCCACAGCATGAGCCCAGATCTTATGTTCTGTGGCTGCTTCTTGTAGAAGCATTTTAGAACAGGAGCGATTCCTTCCTCCTCTAGCCCAGTGCAGGGAGCTTCCTCCTGCAGATGGCTCACAGAAGTGCTCTGGAGTCACCCCAAACTGCAGCAAACTCAAGAGCATGTAGGGGCACCACTCTGATGCCCTCATCTTTCTAGGAGAGATCTTTACTTACGTAGCCTCCACACCAAGGGCCCACAAAGTAGGGTGGGGCAGGACATGTGGCCACAAAAAAACTCCCAGTTTAAACATGAAACCTGCCCAGAAGTGACGTGAGGGCTGCAAGCCAGCCTTTACCAGGGTGGTGTGACCACAAGTGTGAAAGCAAGAGCCTCAGCCCCTCCACCCTGGCAGGACCTCCAGGTGCCAGAGTTGCGAACCTTGCTGTGCCACTCCTGTAGGACCATATGAGGTGGATGGAGCTGACACTGCATCTTCATCCATGTGGTCCATGAGGATGGTCACTGGTGAGTCCCAGAGCGTGAGTCACATCTTAGCGTACACAAATTGCCATGGGCTGAGAGTAGGCTGTGTGAAGCTTCTCATTTAGCCTCTAGCCAGGACACAGAGCACACATTGCAGAGGCACTAAAGAGCTAGTCCAACATCTCCCAACACCTTCCTCATCCACCTGTATTCCTCTCAAGCCTCTTAGATTCTTCAGTGTGGACGTGATTTTCTGAACCTGTGAGAGTTTCAGGCTCTCAGGGGCTGATCTGTTTTCCCAAGGGAAAGCCTTTTGGGAAACTTTTTCTCTCTCAAAGACTGTTGTGTTAAATAAGATTTTGGTTCCCAAAACAAGGACACAGATGTTCTGAGAGTGTTTTTCTCTTGTCCCACCAATGGGATGAGGGAGGTGGTGTTCCTTGTAGCAGTCAGGTTAACCTGTATCGGAACACCTCATAAAAAGGGTTGAAAACCGCAAAATAAAGGCTTCTGCCTCCTGAAAATAAACCTCAGCTGCTGCTTGTGACTGAACCCTTGCTTCATACTGCATGTCCACTAGCAATACTTCAGTACCTTGGTCTTGTTTAAAAGCCTTCACAGGACACATGAAGTGTTCTCAAGAACACACTTCTTGCCAAGTTATTCACAAGTTATTCAGCCATGCCACCAGCACCTCTGCTTTATAAATATCAATGGACTCTGTTTTGCATGAGCCTGAAGCTCTGTGTATTTCCACCTGCAGCCCATAAGCAGTTGGGGTGGGCAGGCTCCTACACCCATGCCATCCCCTCTAGCACCCTCTGCTCCACGTCCAGCCTTGCCCTGAGATGCCGAGCTGCCCTGTCCCAGGCGTTACACAGAGCATGAGCTGCCCCAGCAGCCAGATCATCTCTTGGCCAGAAGGAGTCACAGTCCCCTCTTTGCTGACAATGAGCTGGGACCAACATATCTAGAGCTTGCTGAGCAGAAGCCCCTCACTCCTCCACAAGCCCACCATCCTGCTCCCTGGGTGGAGAAGGAGAGCCCCACTATCTGGAGTGCAGGGGCAGCTTGAGGTGGGACTTCAGTCCCAGGGCCTTGTCCACCACCTCTGGGGGCTGCAGGATGTGCCACTGGGCGAGGGGTCGGCGTGGGTTGGACAGCATGTCAGACCAGTGCCGCAGCTGGTTGCCTGTGGCTCGGCAGCCCAGGAAGAGTTTGCCAATGGGCTCATTCTTGGTCACTTTGTCATGATCCCAGACAGAGATGACCACGTCCACATTCTGGGGGAGACACAAGAAAGAGGGTCAGTGGGAAAGGATTTGCTGCAGTGGGAACCTGCTCAGCCCTGGGCACTTCAGGGAAACCCACCTGGATCTGACTGAAAGGCACCTCAAAAACAAACACCTCGTTGAAGTAAGGGCTTAAGGTGTTTTTCTTCACACTTGTCCTTTTTTTCTTCCATTTCTTCCTGTTCAGTATGAGATGCACCTTGACAAAAGGATCTGAAGAGAGAGAAGGCACACCTGGCACAAGGGACAGTTTTTGACCGAAGAACTCAGCCACAAAAAAGTTTTCCTGAGCCATTCCCAAGGAGACCATGGCATCCCACTTGTCACTCCTCATGGTAAGACAGCCACCTCTGAACTCACTTCCTCCTGCCAAGCTCCCTGTACAATCCAGCCATGACATCTTCTCCTGGGAGATACGTCCAGCACTGCCCAAAGTTGGAGTATCTGTGCTGAGGGAGACTGGGAGTCAGCCAAGGACTGAATATGGTGGTGGCAGCAGGAAGCAGGTCTTAAAACCAGGAGTTTTCAAGTCTTTGTGGCTCTTGGTGCCACCACTGAGGCCTGGGCAGGAGTAGGAAGTTCTGAGAACAAGCAGCCCCCACTGACCTGAGAGTCCATTAGAGTCCATCCGCTTCAACTGCTTGGCTTCAAGGATGAGCACCGTCAGCTTGCCAGTGCTGGGGACGTAGCGCAGTGAGAAGCAGATCTCACCCAGATGCTCTTCCTGATGGAGAGATGCCGGTAATTAGTACCAGGCAGAGGAGCCAGCTCACCTGAGGCTGGAGCACCAGGCTGGCCCCGTGTTTCCCGAGTCTTCCTCACGTTCATGCTTGCCCCTAAGGGCTTGCTTCTTGGGGTGGTGGCAAGCCAAGCAAGAGCACATCCCTCCCAGCAGAGCTTCCCACCCAGCAGGACCAACCTCCACTTTACTGGCCACCTCCAGGTCACTCCACTGCTCGATGACATGCTGCAGGTTGATGTTGGCCAGGGGCAACCGGACCTCACCAATGATGTCATGCTTGGAAAAGCGGTTGAAGTCATAAATCTGCATCACCAGTGTGGATTCAGACACCTCAGCCTGGCGTACCTGCAGGGGAGGACCCAAAAGCCTGGACTCACTCCTCAATGGCAGCCTTGCCCCATGAGGGTATTCCTCTCTCACATTTCCCAGTCCTGATTGCACAAGCTTCACCCTGTCTGGAGAGGTTTTTGCCCAGGGAGCAGTGTCTATGCAACACTCTTAATGGGACCAAAAAAAAACTCACTGGCTTTGGTTTGTACCTGGAAAGTGAAGCTCTCGTTGAAGATGGGGTTCAGGGTCTTGCGGTAAACCTTGGTCTCATATCTCTTCTTCGTATTGGATGTTAGGTAGACAATCACATACGGATCAGATGTGCCTCCGCTGTCCATGGCCTTCAGCTCAACTGCCTGCTTCACACCAACCTTCAGCTGGAGAGGAGTGAGGCACAGGGTCACCAGCTGCAGGAGGATGGGGTCAGGCAGCTGGGGGTTCAGTGGGAAGTGAGTGCAACAGTGAGGAATGCCTTCACACCACACAGGCATGAGAGCTGGTGGGCTGCAGGCAGGTGGGAGAGGGTATATCCACCTCGGTGGGCAGCAAAGAGCGACCATGCAAGAGCATGGTTTTTTCCCTGCTGTGCCATGGCCATGAGCATCCCCACCTCCTGTATGTGGAAGTTGTACTCCAGGGAGTACTGCAGCTTTCCTCGCCGCTTCTGCTCTACTTCCCACTCCAGGTCTTCCATCTCAGGCTGGACCTGTGGCAGACAGCAACACTACCCTCAGGGTGCACTCAGCCATGTCCCTGCCATGCCATGCTCCCACCATCCCTGGGGCTGGGCAGTGCAGCAGCAAACCCCTCAGGGAGGAGGGAGGTGGGATTGAGGAGAAGGCAGGACGCACAAGGTTGGTCGTGGTGGAGTTGCTGACGGCGCACAAGCCAATTCTCTCTTTCTTCTTGGACTTCTTCTTGCTACAGCAGCACTTGGTGATGCAGATGAGGAAGAGAAGGAGGAGAATGGCCCCTGCCACAGCCACGGTGATGAGCGCCCATTTGGGTACTGGTGCGATGTGCAGGGAGCAGAGTTGGATAGAAGAGTTAAAACCAAGCAAAACATACAGAGTACGTTTAAACCCCTTCCTGGTGCTTCAGCATCAAGGAGTTGCAGTTTCAAAATTGCCCCTAGAATCATGGACAGGCCCCATGCAGGGAGACTGTGGTTCCATTCCCCAAATGGGTAGCAAAGATACTCTCTGCTCCTGAAACAGCGTATTCTGCACTCTGAAGTAATCCCACCCTGATGGAGCCCATTAGAAAATGGAATTTGAAGGGAGTGTGAAGTGAATACCTCAGGGTCCAGCAGCCCCACCACGTAATGCTGCCTGAGAGAGGAGGGTAAGAGACGCTGTACTCACATGGGATCCAGCTAAGCCAGCTGTCCAGGGAGCCCGGCCAAGCCGTGGTGGTGATGCTGGTGTGTGGGGAGGCCGTAGTCCTGCCTGTCCTGGCTGCCGCTGCCATGGCTAATCAGGGGTGACCTGGGAGCACAGGCAAAATTAACAGGGTGGGGATTTCCTCTCTGATAGCACGTGTGCTGCCGGTAGCCCAGGGCTCTAATGAGAGCAAACACAATTAAAATACAGAGCCCAGGGTAAGCGATTAGAGGTTGGCCACAATGACAGTGAGAAGTGAAATGGAGCGGGAGGGAGCCGCTGGCAGGGAGGGCTCTGCTCCAGCCGGCCCCTCCCATATAGCCTTCTCCTTCAAATCCTTGCCAGTCTGCGTGCTGGCAGGGGAGAGACCCGGGGAGTTTTGAGAAGTGGATTCACTTGGTTGTAGGGGACAAAAACCAAGAGATGTTTTGTGCTGCCTTCTTCCTGGCCAGGCAGAGTGAGCTGAAGGGTTTTCTCAGCTCCAGGGAAGCCCCATCATCAGCTAACACCCCTTTTTGGCTATTTTCCCTCCTGTGGCAGGGCTGAGGAGCAGTAAGGTTGGCTCCTGGGCTTACAGCAGGGCTGGTGCCCTCGTTGCCGGTGGCAGTGCTGCCACCAGGCTGGGGCCACACCGGCACGGAAACTTTCCGTGAGCTCGGTCTGTGCACATGGCAACGCTGACACAGCCTGAGGGAAGGCTTCAAATTTAAAGCAGGATGGTTTTACAGCTTTGCTTTCCCCATGGCAAAGCTTTTATTCTAGCACGAACACTTCCTCATAGGCAGATTCCTTTCGCGTCACGGGGACAGGTGTGCCCGGAGCCGTGAGCGGCTCTGCAGCCAGCAGGGCACGGGTGGCAGCCAGCCCCAATGCCCGGGCTGGCAGCTAGGTGCCTGGTGCTGCCCCAGCCTCCTGGCCTGCCTTCCAGGGGGTCCCTGCTCGAGCAGCCAGCTCCACCTCGCTCTGCCTGCGCTCTGCCCACGCTCTGCCCATCCCAAGGTACTCCTTGCATGGGGACCTTCCCGGGGAGGAGGAAACCACGTCCGCATTTCCCTTTGCTGAGCCCGCGAAGCCAGCAAGAACCCTTTCTTTTTCCAGCAGTGTGCTTTGCTGCATGTGGGCATAGGGCTGGAGACACGTGGGAATCGCTGTCATCCCTGCGGCGTCCTTGGTGGGACAATGAGGTGCAGGTTAAATGACCTGTCCAGGGCTGCCTGGGACTTCTCTGTCATTGAACACCCGAAGCATCGCTCAGGCATTTTAGAGTGCCAGGCCGCAGCTTTGGAGTGAAGGGTGGACAGGACAGCACAGGCGAGCAGGCACCCACACAGCACAAAATTAGGAATATCAGAACTTTTTGCCTGCCACAGGCTGTGTCACATTAGTTTAACATTGATCCTTGTTTAAAAAAACCTTTATCCCAACCCTGAAGAATTAACTGAACCACCGCTTTGGGAGCAATGGGGACAGCCCTGCTGCAGTCCGGCACAGGAGGCATAGTCTCAGTGGGCAGTCTTTTGGGATCATTAAGGATCCATGTTCCTGGAAAAGGGGCTAGAGGAACCCTGACTCTTGCTCCCACCTGACTGGGTTCCCAAATCCAGACTTACCGACAAGTATCCTTCCCAGAGTCAGTCTTCCCTCCCTGCTGCGCGGGTTCCAGTCAAGCCACCACGTGTGGCAGGGGCATGCTGAGGGCTGAGATGGGACCCCACTGGGCACGCAGCTGAGGGTGCAGAAGGGATGGTGGCTGCACTGCACAGCCGAAACAGGAAAGTCTGCTTTGCCAGCTCAGGAACCGGGTGGCCCCAGCAGCTCCACCGGCCCCACCTCGCTGCTGACCCAAGCAATGTTCATGCAGGCAAAAAGCCAGCGGGGAACTCCCTGCTGGGCCAGGAAACAAAACTTGCCCTCCTGCCTGCAAGAAGCTGGAGGGCATTGCTGCCCAGCTCCATGCACTGGGAAATTCGCTTCTCCAAGTTATCCCTGCAGCGATGCTGGGCTGGACTATGTGGCTGCAAGCACTTAGCACAAGGGAATGGACACTTTCAAGGGGATGGGTGCATGACTGCATCCATCCCTGGTGAGCTCTGGACTTAGGAAGCCCAGCTCCTTGGCCCACAGGGCATGCACTGTGTGAGGGCCTGCAAAACAAGTGTGTGGATGAACAGGAGTGCTCTGCTGCAACACAGCAGGGAGGACAGACAGGACAAGGGGATACAGATTGGGTGGTTTCATCCTCCAGCACCAACAGAAGCACCAGGCACACAGCCAGGAGCAATTTCACAGGCTTCCATTGCATTAAATTTATGCTTGTAAACTTCTTCCCTTGCTGCCAATTCAGCAAAGTCTGCCCAAAACCTGCCTTATCACCACGTAAATTTGGGGTGGTGAAGCAGAAGCAGCGAGCAATACTGCAAAACTGCCAGTGTCTAATGGCTGATGTAGTGATGGGAGGAGATGCCCCAGAAACCAGACCTGTCCCAGCTCTGTTCTCAGGTCATTGCCCTACCACCCTGACTCACCAGTCCTTCCAGATTTTCACATGGCCACCAAGGTGTTGCCATAGAAGGTGCCTAGCCACAGGAGAGGGGCTAGGGCTGCCCCTCAGCCACCCAAAAAACAGCCACACTCACAAGGGCCTTGCACTCCTGCTGCTCAGAGAAGCACCATCTCCAGAAGCAGGAGATGCAGGAATGATGATGCAGGAATGATGCTGCAGCAACCCTCTAGGGGAACCTTTTGCTCTAAACTGGAAGTCCCAAGGGATGCACAAGAGAAATGCATTATGGGGATGGAGGAATAGGGAATATTAAAATCCACCAGGGAAAGGGGGTCTGCATAAGCACACTAAAAACTGAGCATATAAGTAGCCTTTTCAATGGGTTGTTTGCTAGTTGTTTGACAGTTAAAAGAGAAGAGATTCAGATCTTAGGAAGAAATTCTTTAATCAGAAGGTAATGAGGCACTGGAACACATTGCCCAGAGAAGTTGTGGCTTCATCCCTGGAAGAGTTGAAGGCCAGGATGGATGGGGCCCTGAGCAAGCTGATCTGGTGCATGGCATCCCTGCCCATGGTGGAAGGGATTGGAACCAGATGATCTTTAAGACCCTTCCAACCAAAATCATTCCACGATTCTATGATCTCAGCAAGACCAAGCTACACAGGACCCTGGTGGCTTCCCACATTTTGGGAGGAGATTTGGTGATCCTGGTGATAGCCTGGTGTCATGCATGGGGACAACTGCTTGGCCTTAGTGCAGGTGACTTTGATCTCCATTGGCAGGAGCAAGGCTGGGCAGGCTGCAGCAGTGGACCTTGTTCCAGGAGCGGGGCAAGGGAAAAGCTGCAGGATGGTCCTGTGTCAGCCCCCCTCCCCTCACGCTCCCCACATCCCTGACAGTCACACTCTTGGACAGAAAAGGGGTGTTGAACTATCCTGGCACCATGAGCCCCCACAGGGCTGGGTGCCACACAGCCTATGCAGAAGAGGAAAATCCTAGCCCCAAAATCCACCCTGTTCAGGACAGCATGTGAGACGGCTTCCAGAAAAGAAGGGAAAAGAGACCCAGAACCATTACAGTAAAATTGCAAATGCGCTTCACCCAGCCACGCTCTGAACCTGCCTTTGCTCCCTGCATCCCTGCACACCCTGCGCGTCACTCTGGACCAGATACCCCTATTTTTTTCGGTCAAAAAAACAACCATTCAGGGGCTGGGAACTGAGAGGACTAGAGGCAAGCAATAAATACTCCAGGTGCAGAAATCAGAAATCACGGCTTGTGGACAGCGATCTGAGCACAAGCGCCGATGGGGCTCCGGAAGCAGGAACCTCTCCAGGGGTGACCGCCAGGGTGACCGCGGCTGTGGCCGAAGCCAGGCGCAGGTGAGCGTGATCCTGTGCAGTGCCAGCTGGGAAATGCAGTCTGGCCCGGGCACGACGCCAAACAGCCCGCTGCCTACAAATCCCAGCGCGCCGGGAAGCGGAGCTGCGCCCCATCCCGGCTCCTGCCGGCTTCCTGCAGCGAGGGCAGGGGGAAATATAAACAGCAGCGCCCTGGGCAGGGCTGGGATGCTGCCGCTGGACAGGCTGTGCCGGGGAGCAGAGGCAGCGCTCGGGGTGAGTTTGGGCTTTTCTCTCTAGCAGAACCCTGTGTGTGTGCAGAGGGTAACATCTGCTCCCTGCTCGGCAGGAAGGAAGAGCTGTGGGGACCAGCAGCACCCGCCTGGAATGTTTCCGTATGCGAACAGCACTGCGGGTTACTGGGGCAGGGAGATGGAAAGGAGAAGTCGGGCTTGGTTTGCAGTGCTGGAAGAGTGAAGCAGAAATCAGAGGTGGATTCTCCCATCAGGAAGGGCTGCTCAGCTCCGTTGCCTCCTTGCATTTAATTTTGACTTTCAGAGAATACTTGGCCGAGATTGTCAGAGGAAAGCTCCTGCCTGCGCAGCTGGGGGTGTTGGCCACCCTCTCTGGGAGGAGACCCCTTCCCAGCACGGGGCATGGGCTGCAGGAAGAAGAGGGATGCTCAGAATCGCCTGGCTTTCCAGGCAGCCCTGGCTGGGGGTGCAGGAAAGTCCTGGTGCAGGACTTTCTGCTCCTCGGGCAGTCGGGGAGTGCACATGCAAGCACTCAGCCCCCATGGCAAGGCTGGCATCAGCCAAGTGTGTTGCCTACTGGCCCAGGCAACATTTTGCAGTCCCTGAACAATAGACATTAATTAAATAAAACTGGGGCAAAAGGCAGGTCTCTGTGGAGACCCTGACTTGTCCTTTACACTGCATGTTGGCTTTGCTCTTTCCTTGCACAGCCCCCCAGCACAGTAATCAGGTAGGGCCTGGCTAGCTCACAGGGCTGTGGAGGGGCAGACCAGGTCCATCGCAGGGGTCTCAGCCTTTATCCAAGCCCTCACCACACACTTCTACTTACTCTGGCCTTTTACAGCTGAAAATGAGTTGCTGTTGCAGTGAACTTCATTTGTAGATACAAATTCACCATTCAAGCAAAAGTGGCAAAAAAGGCAACATGGATGTGAGCTAGAAACCTACCTATAAGCTGTAACCTATTTTCACTTTTAAAGACAGTCTTATTTTGCTTGGAAAAGAGGTCCACAACAGTTTGCAGCAGTTCCATACAGAGAAAAATACTCTTTGAGAAAAACTAAAGTAAAAATAAAGGCATGTTCTATGTTTGAAAAGCCACTTTTCCATCACATTTAATTTGAACTATTAGAACAGCTTTTCTCGGAGCAAAGCTGCTGTCAGCAGAAACAATATCATTTGGGCTGCTGTACATGGAGTGTAGGATGTTTCCTGTCTCCTTTCCACTCTTCTCCCTCTCTAGATTGACTATAGGTTGATTATATTATAATCTGTCAGTTTAATTTTATATTTTCTCTTAAAGGCTGAGAGTTGAAGATGGCAGAGCTGGAAAGCACAGTCATAAACACCAATGTAAAACAGGTAAAAGGCTGTTCATTACAAAACACACATCCTGTATGTCCAAACCAAGTTTTGAAATTCCACCACAGAAGACAGCACACCACAACTCAGAACTGTGGTGGCCTGAATTGCTCCTGCCTGGGTTTCAGCAGAAGTGGCTGTCCCAGGGCTGCTGGGCACCTGGTCCCAGTGAAGTCCATGTGATTTCCAGTTGCGTGGACTGGGCAGGTACATTTGCTCACACTTATGTTTTGGAGCAGCCAGGGAGAAAACAGCAGCTTCTCTACATACACAAAGACTTTATTCAACTGTCCAGAACAGACACAAAGGGTAATACCACCAGTATGTGCAGAGAAACCCAGCAAAAACAGATGACTGTGGCTGTGCTGTGCTCACAAACAACAAAATTATGAAGCAATCCCCTCTGTGTGAGCTGTCCTTGGAGCATGTGGCACTTATCAGACAGGTTAGGGTTTCACAACTACCAGCCCCATCCTTGTGGCCTGAAGATGAAGACTGGGTGTGGTACCTCTGGCATCAGGAACCGTGACACAGGGGTGATACCGCCAGCACCCAAACCTACCAGTCTGGTTGGTGCCCCCTGCTCACCCCTCCTCCACAAGCTCCTTCTCTGCTGTCCCCTGATTCCTCTTTCCTCCCTGTCCTGCAGAAAGACCCCAGCACAGCACTGGTCATTGCTGTGACCACCAGAGCCATCTTCAACCTGGAGGAGGAGCACAAGCTCTACCTGGAGAAGGGCAAGGAGGAGTACACAAGGCACCAGCAGGTCAACCAGGACAAGCCCCTGCCACCAGGAACAGCCTTTGCCTTCATCCAGGTGAGCCCCACACCTGGCTAGGGGCACATGCAGACACTCGCAGGATGGGGTGAAAGCTCAGCTTTCCCAGCTTTAAGTCTCAAATCCCATCATGGGATGTAGTTGTGCCTGTCCTGATCTCTTGGCCTCATTGCAGGGCATTGAAACATGTGCTCTTGACCAGTCTATCTCCCCTCTGGCTTTTCCAGGATGGTTACCTTGTCTGGCTCTTCATAACATGCCAGCCTTGCCATAGCTGACAGATGCAGCACAAACCACTAACCTTAACTGTAAAAGAGCCCCTGCAAACGTACTGCAGTCATGCCTCTTTAGAAGAGTCTCGTCTCTTCACAGGCAGTGCAGTATGTTAACACAAAGATCCTGGAGAGCAACCCAGCAGAGAGAAACCTCTTTGACATCCTGGTGCTCTCCAACAACAGCCCAGAGAGCGGCCTGCGCATCATCAACAGCGCCAAGCACTACGGTAAGGGGGACCCATCCCTGGCAG